CTACTGAAAACTGTCAAATATAATAGGGAAGATGGCATATTTTTTTTAGGTTAATGAACATCATGTACCCCATTTTATTGCTTTTCTAAGTAGGCAGAGGGTAAATAAAAGTGTGAAAATTATATTAATTGGTTGTTTTATTAACACCTTTGCTGAACAGCTTTGTGAATGAGATTTTTACAACAAGGGTGAAACTTCTTGTTTAAATCATGGTGTTCTCTAGGTAACGAGTTGCAGAGCTTCTACCAGAGCTGCTTCTCCAATCCTGTTTTAAAGCAGAAGTTCTATCAAGGAAATTTAGAGTTTAAAGGAACTTTGGAGATAATCAAGTTGACAGCTTCGTTTTATTGACAGAGAAACTGATCTATTTTTCCTTGTTCCAAATCAGAAAAAACCCAGGACTCCTGACCCCTAAACTTTGTGTTCTTTTCACTATAAGGTCTCACATCCCTTTTTGGACTTACTCTTGACTGATAACTAGAGAATTGCACATACCTTCCATTTTTATTTCACGTTTTATGTAATAACTGAGAGTTTTCAGACACGTGTCCAGATGTCTTTTTTTACCAGAAAGATGTGTGGCACAGATGCTGCAGTTACATAAATCTTGTCCTATTCTTGCTGCACTGTATTCACTGTAGTTGATTCATTTCACATTGAGAACTTGGCCTCTGCACTGAAGTCTTAGTAACAAGGTTTCATAAGTTGAATAAATAGAACACAGTGCTTCAAATTTTAGTTATCTGTCAGATGATGCAGCATGGGCGATGAAGCTTTGACCAAGCACAGTATATGCTGCCTACTGCCAGAATATGTAAAATATCTGACAGAAAATATAGATTATGGGATGATTATTCATACTGAAAGAAGTGGTTTATTTCACAAAAGAATTCTTTAATGATTCCCTTAGTGAATTTCTCTAGTTTAAATTTCTGAAACTCAGTTGATGTTCAGTATTTCAGAATGTAACATAAAGCAAAATGTACTTGAATTTGATGACACATGAAAAACACCAGACTTTTCTGAATAATGCTGGCAGTTCAAAATGCTGGTCATATTGGACGATGTGAGTGGTGATAGACAGTACTTATTAAAATATGTGTGTTAAGTCTCTTTAAGTCGTGTCTGACTTTTTGTGAACCCACAGACTGTAGCCCACCAGGCTCCTCTGTCCATGGATTCTCCAGGCAAAAATACTGAAGTGAGTTGCCATGCCCTCCTCCAGGGCATCTTCCTGACCCAGGGATTAAACTCACATGTCTTTTGTCCCCTGCATTGGCAGGTGGGTTCTTTACCACTAGTTCCACCTAGGAGGCCCACTTCTTCTTCTTTTTTTTTAATTTATTTTTTTATTGAAGGATAATTGCTTTACAGAATTTTGTTGTTTTCTGTCAAACCTCAACATGAATCAGCCATAGGTATACATATATCCCCTCCCTTTTGAACCTCCCTCCCAGCTCCCTCCCCATCCCACCCCTCTAGGTTGATACACAGCCCCTGTTTGAGTTTCCTGAGCCATACAGCAAATCCCCATCTATTTTACACATGGTGATGTAAGTTTCCATGTTACTCTTTCCATACATCTCACCCTCTCCTCCCCTCTCCCCTTGTCTGTAAGTCTGTTCTCTATGTCTGTTTCTCCACTGCTGCCCTGTAAATAAAATCTTCGGTACCATTTTTCTAGATTCTGTATATGTGCATTAGAGTACGATATTTATCTTTCTCTTTCTGACTCACTTCACTCTGTATAATAGGTTCTAGGTTCATCCACTTCATCAGAACTGACTCAAATATATTCCTTTTTATGTCTGAGTGATATTCCATTGTGTATATGTACCACTACTTCTTTATCCATTCACCTGTTAATGGGCATCTAGGTTGCTTCCATGTTCTAGCTATTGTAAATAGTGCTGCAATGAACCATGGGATACATGTGTCTTTTTCAACCCTGGTTTCCTCAGGGTGTATACCTAGGAGTGGGATTACTGGGTCATATGGTGGTTTTATTCCTAGTGTTTTAAGGAATCTCCATATCATCTTCCACAGTGGCTGTATCAATTTACATTCCCCAAACAGTGCAAGAGTGTTCCCTTTTATCCACACCCTCTCCAGCATTTATTGTTTGTAGACTTTTTGATGATGGCCATTCTGACCGGTGTGAGGTGATATCTCATTGTGGTTTTGATTTGCATTTCTTTAATAATGAGTTATGTTGAGCATTTTTTCATGTGTTTGTTAGCCATCTGTATGTCTTTTTTGGAGAAATGTCTATTAGGTCTTTTTCCCACTTTTTGATTGGGTTGTTTGTTTTTCTGGCATTGAGTTGTATGAGCTACTTGTATATTTTTGAAATTAATCTTTTGTCAGTTGTTTCATTTGCTATTATTTTCGCCCATTCTGAGGGTTGTCTTTTCACTTTGCTTATAGTTTCCTTTGCTGTGCAAAAGCTTTTAAGTTTAATCAGGGCCTACTTGTTTACTTTTGTTTTTATTTCCATTACTCTAGGAGGTGGGTCATAGAAGATCTTCCTTTGATTTATGTTCTGCCTATGTTTTTCTTTAAGAGTTTTATAGTTTCTGGTTTTACATTTAGGTCTTTAATCCATTTTGAGTTTATCTTTGTGTAGAAAGTGTTCTAATTTCATTCTTTTACATGTAGCTGTCCAGTTTTCCCAGCACCATTTATTGAAGAGGCTTTCTTTCTCCCCATTGTATATCCTTGCCTCCTTTGTCAAAAATGAGGTACCCATTGGTGCATGGGTTTATTTCTGGGCTTTCTATCTTGTTCCATTGGTCTGTATTTCTGTTTTTGTGCCAGTACCATACTATCTTGATGACTGTAGCTTTGTAGTATAGTCTGAAGTCAGGATGGTTGAGTCCTCCAGCTCCATTCTTCTTTCCCAAGACTGCTTGGTTATATGGGGTCTTCTGTGTTTCCATATGAATGTGAAATTTTTTGTTCTAGTTCTGTGGAAAATGCCACTGGTAATTTGATAGGGACCATGTTGAATCTGTAGATTGCATTTGGTAGTATAGTCATTTTCACCATATTGATTCTTCCTACCCAGGAACATGGACTATTTCTCCATCTGTTTACATCATTTTTTATTTCTTTCATTAGTGTCTTATAATTTTCTGTGTACAGTTCTTTTGTCTCCTTAAGTAAGTTTACTCCTAGATATTTATTTCCTTTTGTTGCAATGGTGAATGGGATTAATTCTTCAATTTCTCTTTCTGATTTTTCCTTGTTAGTATATAGAAATGCAAGTGATTTGTGTGTATTGATTTTGTATCCTGCAACTTTGCTAAATTCACTGATTAGCTCTAGTAATTTTCTGATACTATCTTTAGGGTTTTTTATGTACAGTATCATGTCATCTGCAAATGATGAGAGCTTCACTTCTTCTTTTCCATTCCAGATTCCCTTTATTTCTTTTTCTTCTCTGATTGCTGTAGCTAGGACTTCCAGAACTATGTTAAATAATAGTGGGAAAAGTGGACACCCTTGTCTTGTTCCTGATCTTAGGGAGAATGATTTCAGGTTTTCACCATTGAGAATAATGTTTGCTGTAGGCTTATCATATATGGCCTTTACTATATTGAGGTAGGTTCCTTCTATGCCCATTTTTTGAAGAGTTTTAATCATAAATAGGTGCTAAGTTTTGTCAAAGGGTTTTCCTGCATCCATTGAGATGATCATGGCTTTTATCTTTCAATTTGTTATGTTGCTGAATTCTGTTTGCTAAAATTTTGTTGAGGATTTTTGCATCTTATTTCATCAGTGATATTGGCCTGTAATTTTCTATTTTTGTGTTGTCTTTGGTTTTAGTATCAGGGTGATGGTCTCCTCATAGAATGAGTTTGGAAGTGTTCCTTCCTCTGCAATTTTTTGAAAGAGTTTTAGAAGAATAGGCATTAGTTCTTCTCTAAATGTTTGATAGAATTCTCCTGTGAAGCCATCTGGTCCCGGGCTTTTGTTTTTTGGGAGATTTTTTATGACAGCTTCAATTGCAGTGCTTGTAATTGGGTTGTTAATAATTTCTATTTCATCCTGGTTCAGTCTTGGAAGATTGAACGTCTCTAAGAACCTGTCCATTTTTTCCAGGTAATCCATCTTATTGCCATATAGTTGTTTCATAATAGTTTCTTATAATCCTTTGTATTTCTGCATTATCTCTTGTAACCTCTCTTTCATTTCTAATTTTGTTGATTTGATTCTTCTCTCTTTTTTTCTTGATGAGTCTGGCTAAAGGTTTGTCAATTTTGTTTATCTTCTCAAAGAACCAGCTTTTAGTTTTGTTAATCTTTACTATTGTTTCTTTCATTTCTTTTTCATTTATTTCTGCTCAGATCTTTATGATTTCTTTCCTTCTACTAATTTTTGGGTTTTTTTGTTCTTCTTTTTCCAGTTGTTTTAGATGTAAAGTTAACTTGTCTATTCAATGTTTTTCTTGTTTCTTGAGGTAGGATTGTATTGCTATAAATTTCCCTGTTAGAACTGCTTTTGTTGCATCCAGTAGGTATTGAGTTGTCATATTTTCATTGTCATTTGTTTCTAGAAATTTTTTGATTTCCCTTTTGATTTCTTCAGTAACTTGTTGGTTATTTAGAAATGTGTTGTTTAGTCTCCATGTGTTTGTTTAATCTCTGTGTGTTTCTTACAGGTTTTTTTTTCTCTTGTAATTGATATCTAGTCTCATAGTGTTGTGATTGGAGAAGATGCTTGATATGATTTGAATTTCCTTAAATTTACTGAGGTTTGATTTGTGACCCAAGATGTGCTCTATCTTGGTGAATGTTCCATGTGCACTTGAGAAGAAGGTGTATTCTTCTGCATTTGGAAGGAATGTCCTGAAGACATCAGTGAGATCCATCTCATCTAATGTATCATTTAAGACTTATGTTTCCTTATTAATTTTCTGTTTTTTTTTAATTTTTTTTTTTTTATTAGTGGTCTGTCTGTTTTATTGACAGCTGGAAGCTCAGGCCTTGACTGCGTACTTCCGGAGCGGGTACAGCTGCTCCTTCCGCTGTTGCTTCTTGATCTTCAGATTCTCTTTATGCTTGTTGAGCCAGTGGCGCATGGCATGTGTTTTCTTGGGCCGCAGATCCAGGGGCTTGTACTTCTTGCCCTTATAGAAATTCCTGAGGTTCTCTTTCTGAGTCTAATTTTCTGTTTTGATGATCTGTCTATTGGTGTGAGTGGGACGGTAAAGTCTTCTACTATTGTGTTACTGTCAATTTCTCCTTTTAAGTCTGTTAGTGTTTGTCTTATGTACTGAGGTGCTCCTAAACTGGGTGCATGGATATTTACAATTGTTATGTCTTCCTGTTGGATTGATCCCTTGATCATTTTGTAGTGTCCTTCATTATCTCTTGTAATCTTCTTTATTTTAAAGTCTATTTTGTCTGATAAGAGGATTGCTGCTCCAACTTTATTTTTCTTTCCATTTGCATGGAATCTAATTTTTCCATCCTCTCAGTTTCAGTCTTTAGGTCTGAAGTGGGTTTCTTGTAGACAGCATATATATGGGTCTTGTTTTTGTATCCATTCAGCCAATCTGTGCCTTCTGGTTGGAGCATTTAATCCATTTACATTTAAGGTAGTTATTGATATATATGTTCCTATTCCCATTTTCTTAATTGTTTTTCATTGATTTTTGTAGATCTTTTTTCTTCTCTTGTATTTCTTGACTATATAAGGGCCTCTAACATTTGTTGTAAAAATGGTTTGGTGGTACTGAATTCTCTTAACTTTTGCTTGTCAGGAAAGCTTTTTATTTCTCCATCAGTTTTGAATGAGATCCTTGCTGGGTACAGTAATCTTGGTTGTAGATTTTTCCCTTTCAGTATTTTAAGTATATCCTGCCATTCCCTTCTGGCCTGCAGAGTTTCTGCTGAAAGATCAGCTGTTAAGCATATGGGGTTTCCCTTGTATGTTACTCGTTGCTTCTCCCTTGCTGCTTTTCATATTCTTTCTTTGTGTTTAGTCTTTGTTAGTTTGATTAGTGTGTGTCTTGGCATGCTTCTCCTTGGGTTTATCCTGTATGGGACTCTTTGTGCCTCTTGGACTTGATTGACTATTTCATTTTCCATGTTGGGGAAATTTTCAACTATAATCTCTTCAAAAAATTTCTCATACCTTTCTTTTTCTCTTCTATAGAAGGAATCAATAGCAGAATATCTGAAGGAGAAGAGCGAATCAATGAGCTGGAAGATAAAATGTTGGAAATAATTTCCAGAGCAGAATAAAGTAAAAAGAATGAAAAGAACTGAGGATAGTCTCAGAGACCTCTGGGACAATATCAAACACACTTCTTATTATTTTATTTTTACTTTCTGTCAAGGCCCTGGGTTGTTTGGTAGGATGAACAGTACTATCTGGAGATTAGAAACAGATTTAAAATTGCTGAATTGCAATGCCTAGAAATACCCTGGAGAGTCAAACATGCCTGAGAAAAGAGGGTCCAAAAAAAAAAAAAAAACTTACTATGAAACAGTGGTAATTAAGGAATATTCCACTTTGGTCTGTTTTGATTCAAGCAGTACTGCAAAGGGACTGTGTGGATTTATTTTCAGGCTGCAGTTTATTGATTCAGGCTGTGGCCTCTGCTAATTGGCAGAGCTGTCTTTAGCTGACAAATGTGCATTTGGTTGTAGAGAACGAGAAATTAGATGTTTTGTCTATCTTCCTATAGAAAGGAAACTCTGCTGAGGAGAACTTCTCCAGGCTTAAGCCTCTTTCCAGGTGGACCATCTGCAAGGTCACTTGACTAGCGCTGGGATTCACACTGCACAGACACACACATACACACACGCACACCAGGGTCCCCTGGGCCCGTAGGTGGTGGATACCTCTTCGCATTGCAGCCAGGTTTCCAGAGGCCATGCCTGGTTGAAATGGGGCTGTGAGCGCTAGGGCTTCCAAGCTGACACGCGGCACAATTCATCTTGTGAGTTAACTAGCTGGCACCTTGGTCTCTGAGGGGCCGTGATGGCACGTGGATGTCAGTGGTGTCAGAGATGGAGGGGTTGGCCGACAAGCACTGCAGGCAGCTGTAGGGGCGGGACGACGTTTCCGGTGATGGAAGACACAGGGCACACACCTCTGAACATGTTCAGAGCTCACGAAGGGCAGACGCTGAGAGGCTGGGCCGCAGTCCTGTGCGGGTGACACATTCCACAGTGACACAGGCCTGGGGCTTGGTTTAATGCTCTGCTGCAATGATCTTAGAATTCTTCTTCTTTTTTTTTTAAACAAAAGACTTTTTAATTTTGTACTAGGCCCCACAAATTCTTTAGCTGGTCTTGCTGGAAGGGGAGATAAAAGGTCAAGAGATAGATGCCAGGAGACTAATTTTGTATAAATTCTAATCTGGGCTGTGAAAAATCCTGTTCCCTGTAATAGGGTTTAGAGAGATGGCATTAAACAATCCTCCTGACTTTATGATTGGATAAAGAGGCTGGAGGGCGTTGGACTCTGAAGTTGTTGAGAGGGGAGAGGCTGCATACTGGAGCTGAGTGATGCTTATGGTGGAGTGAAGGGCAGCTTCAAATGTCACATGGGGGGAGCACTGAGATGGGGGGGGGTCCAAGGAAGAAGCACAGCTGTGGCCACCGGGGGTGAGATTCACAGCCGGGGCCTTCCAAGTGGCCTGGGCCTTTGCAGCTGACCTAATTAGAAGGTCTGAGGAGTAAAGAGAATTTGCAGAGTTCCCCAGCCTTTGCCTTGCTTGGTGCTCAAGAGAAAGTCGTTGAACTTTTCAGTATTTCAGATTCCTTATCAGTAGAAGGATTTTTCTCCTCACTGCTCTCAGACTCTTAACAGTTCAGCGTGATAAAATCTGTCAAGTGCTCGAGCCCCGGGAGATAGGCTCTTTATCAATCAGGATGGTAGCCTGCTCCTTCCAACAGAAAGTGAATTTGGGATCTTGCAGAATCACCCGGGAGGATGTGGTCTGAAGAAGTTTAAAAGTTCAAGTGTTCTGCTTAGCAGTTCTTCAGGGAAAGGGCGTATGTGCTGTCCACGTCCTCTCCCCAAAGCTTCTGTGCATTGTCTGGTTGTATTTCCTCACCAAGTAAAATACAGAGTCAGTCCTGGACCTCCGTTCTCTCAGATACTGTGGTTGGGGCCTGCTTAATCTAGAGGATTCATAAAAATAACAGCCAGTGGCCTCTCAGGGGTATTACAGACAATTTAGGTGAACTGCTTCAATTTTCAAATGAGAAAATGGGAAGAGAAGAAGGTCGTGGGTGGCCCAGGCCACATAGCTGAGTGTGCAGAGCTGTGTCCAGTGACCAGAGGTTTGACTTCTGGTCCAAGGGTTTCCCCTGATATCACATGTCTGCTGGGCACTCAGGCCCATAATCACTAGATTTGAGGAGTTCTGCTGCATTTCTTGTTTACACAGGTCCCAAAGTTATCATGGAATGCCTATTGATGAGAGTGATAATAATAGTGAGAAGTACCATTTATATAGGGCCTGCGATGGGCACAGGGAGCTCAGAACTTCACCCAATCCTTTCAACCATGTTTGGAGGGAGAGCTTGTTACTTTCACTTTTCAGAGGAGAAGACTAGGGCTCAAATATCACGTGGCTCTTAGTTAGCAACTCCTTCTCGCAGTTCTGGCAGCTCTTCTTCTCTGACAGGCTGCAGTGCAGGTAGTGGGAGCCCTTCCATCCCATCCTCTGCTAAGCAAGAGCTGGCACTGGAGCGTGCGTTAGTTCATGGTAGTTAGTTTCATTATTTTTTTCCAGCTGCTAACACAGAGGACTTAATCCAGGCAAAAGAAATGGAAGTAGACTAGAGGTATGAGGATGCTACTTTATAGAAACATTATGGTGATTTGTATATAATTGTCAATTGCCTGGAAGACACAGTCAAGCAAAGTAATTTGATTATAAGAAAGGACAATGTGTGAAGTCAATATAAGCAGACCTGCCTAGAAATTGAAAGGACAATGGAAGACTTCTAGGTTGTGCTCGCCCAGGACATTCAGGCTGTAGCATACATGCCAGGGCCTGCATATTCACCCCTCTGCTGGGCACAGAGCGGAGCAGGGGTGTGGTGATGCCCATCTGGGGAGGTGTGGAGACATGGTGGGCCTCCCTCCTGCAGCTCTTTGCCACACCCATTCAGAGCAGAGGATATGCCCCCTACGGATGAACTCAAGGCCCTCTGTCACCTCTGTCGTTTGTGTTAAACAGTAAAGCCATCAGCCTTCATTTACCTAAACTCACATTGTTTTTTCCCCCCTTGAAGCTCCTTGGTCAGCGGAGGCTGCTCTAAGTACAGTGAAGTGTGAAATAACCATACAGGTTCCTGTTTGATTAGTGGAGTGTGGTTTCTCATTACTCCCTAGGGGCCATTTGTAATGAGAAATTGGACTTGTAAGCCTTGAAACTTTTCCACTCACCACTCTGTATGTCTTGCATTATTTTGCCTTTTAAAATTAGCATGCTATTTTAGACAATGAAGAGAGCAGGCTTTAGAAGCATAACAGAGCATCTGCTCTACAGAAACTGCTAAGCAGTCTCTGTTCACATTGAGTTTTGACTTATTACCCAGAATAGGAAAATATGCAAATGCAGAACATGTGTATTGACTGTGCTTTTGCCTTGAGGCTGTTTTGTATTACATATCTAGAGGATGGATATTTGTGTGGGGGTTTGATTCCTATTTCTCCATATGACTGTGCTTGTGGGTTCTGGCCTGTGACATGCCCTGGAAGGCATGATGCTTCTCTTAGCTGGTACCCGGCACCTTGTACTGTGCCTTCAGCACTGGACCATGACATAGATTTTGTGTTAATAATGCCCATCCTTTGTGAGTACTAAGTTCCACTGCAATTTGAAGATATCAGAAGAGTGAAAAAGTCTTTTCTGATGCCGCGGTGCCCCTTGTTTGAACCCTACAAGCATGCTGTGCTTACTTCCACATTTACTGGACTTGTCATGGGTCCTCTATTTGCATATTCAAGTGTCTGTCTCCTTCACTAGACTCTAAGCTCTTTGAGAATAGGGCCTGTGCCAGCCTTGTTCATTTTTGGGTCCTCAGAGCATATTAGTGCAAAGCCCTCAGT